ATTTGTATGATCAAGAACTGGATGAGTTCAACACACTGAGCTTTATTTATAAATGTATTTAGTGACAGTGGATTTTTTTCACATTATGCAAAGAGAAAAATACAATAAATTCATATCTTGACCAGACAAACAGGTGCTCTAACTGAAACTAGGAACAGTTTTGTTTAATAAAACAGAAATTAAAGCTGAAAAAGAAACATATTTCTATAATGAAGTCACTTTGATTCTGGAGGTTTAGATTCAGAACAAAAAGCCATAAAGTAAAAGAAACACATTAAATGAAGTGATGCAACAAAACCACAGAGTTTAAACCCAGAGTTCTGTCTGTAAGGCACTGACATTTACAGAGCTGGCACTTCAGTTTGAAAAAAAAAAAAAAGACATTTTGTTTCCAGCAGTAAACAAAAACAAACAAAACAAACATGTTGAAAATGACAGCAGAAACATCAGGCTTGAGCTCAGGATCCAGCAGGTCAAACATATCATTACATTAGACTGGATGGAAAACTCTCTCACATAAACAAAAACTAATACATGCTGTGTGTTTGCAGGATATTGGTTATAAAAAAACAAGAAGCAGAAAACTAGTAACACAAGTCATATTTATAGTGAAGTTAGACACTGTGTGGTTAATGCAACGTGCAGAGAAACAAGTGTGAGCTGCAGAAATATAGAAACAACTTCATTCATTTTTTTTGCAAAAAAAATCACTGATGATGAAGAAATTAAGAAACTAATATTAAGTTCTTTTTTCTACTGAAGTGATTACAAAAAAAAGAAACTTCAGTAAATCAACACGTCTGTTGATTTACTGAAGTTTCTTTTTTTGTAATCACTTCAGTAGAAAAAAGAGCTTATTAGTTTCTTAATTTCTTCATCATCAGTGATTTAAAAAAAGAACCTTCAGTAAATCAACACGTCTGTGTTCAGGTGGTTTATTTGTTGGATGTGAAGTGTGCAGATGTTTCCAGCTGTGAGAGCTTCACACTGCAACATTTCATTTCCAGCAGCTCTGCAGACCTGTTTTTATTTACTGTCAACACGAGCGACATTAATATTTAAGTTTATCTTCACAGTGAGGATGACTCTCAGCTCCCATCACATCCAGTTAGACTTGAGCAGCAGAAACCCACCTGACCTTCCACCTGAAACCTGTCCTGTGACGTGTTTCAGGCAAACCTTCACAGATCTGACAGTTTGTGGCGGCCATGTTCCCTCAGCTGGGTTTCACACGTTCATCTGTTCAATAAATCTGCTGAGATGCTCGTGACATATTTAACTAACACAAACATACAGAGAAAGATGAAAACAAGTGATCCACTCGAAGATGAAACAGAGAGTTGAAGAGAAAGGATAAAACCTGCAGCTCTGCGTCAGGCTGACTGAAGCTAATTAAACCATTCTGCTAACGAGGTAACCACACCTCTGAGCTGGAACACTACATGAAGGTTTGTGTTGTTTCTGGAGCTCAAACACAACTGAAACACAAATTAAACCTTTTATATTTCTATTATTTAGACTTTTATAAATGATTCTCATTTTTTATCCACCGTACTAAAGCTCAGAGTGAGCTGAGTCAGCAGTTTGGGAACAGAATAAGCTTGGTTTTGGCAACAAAGGGAATAATTCTTAGTTTTTGATGAGTTCATGAAACATATTTATATAATGCAGATATAATTTTAGTGGTATTCCACTGTTCATCATATTACACACACAGGTTTGTATTTCTATCCTTGTTAGGACTGTTCATTGACTTCCAGTCATTTCTACAGCCTAACCATGACCACAGGTTCACTGTAAAAATTATCCACCTAACCAGGTTTTAAACTCTTATATCAGCCAAAAAGTCTTTTTGATCTTGTTTTCAGACTGATTTACTAAACAAGAACTGATTGTGTAA